GGGATCTCATAAAATGACTGAATGGCAGCTGACACAATGAATAAAATTCACATCTTTTTTACTCGAGAAATAAGTAGTCATCAACAATATTTCACTAATAAAATGAGTCTAGTCGATTGAAAAAAGGATATATAAATACCTCATTTTGTTCAACTTTTCACGTTCTATCATTTGGTATATTAGACTAAAAATTTTATTGATCTTTTGTTATTCAAAATAACATAACTTTATATTGATCATTTTTGATGATATTCTTCACATAGTCTCATGAGTGTTGGACAGTAAAATTCAGTTAACTTTTTGTCAACTGAACTGTATGTGTTAAAAATTTGGATTTAGAAGTTTTAGATGACGCTGAATAAAATGAGAACATCAAATCGAAAAGCTAAATTTTATCGAGTACTTTGATATATAGTAAGATCCTCAATGGTTTCATAGGTCCTCTCTTAAGGTTCGAAAATTTCTGCTATATAGTGATAATGAAGAACGTCTTCTGAAGAGGATGTAATTTCAAAAAAAGTTACGTTTGCTCAGTGTATTCTTGCGAATTCTTCTGTGCTGACGATCAGAATAATGGTATAATAAATTGAAGTTATTCGATACAAAAAAATGAAAGCATTATATTACCTATGTATGCATTACAAAATAAATCTGGTGTTGTGCATTCATCCATATACGTAAAACAGCACATGGTCATACAATCCTGAGATTTTTTTTTCACACCTATATTATCGTCGATTTGCTTGTTCTCTCACTTACCGCTCGAGCAGTTTAATCGACAGAGACAGAGAGAGAATAAATTGAAGGTTGGACAAAATGTGCACTATACCAAGGCTTAACTTGTTTTTTTTTTCTTATTGTTGTACAGGATAGACAAAATATTAAGGCTTCACGAGCAATAGTATGCTGCTAAATACTGTTGATTCTGTTGTAACCAAACTTCAAACTGTCAGGATCTGTCACCTATAAATTGATGACGATCCTTCATCGCTACACCTTTTTTTTATTACCTATATATGTTTTTTGTTCTCTCTCTCTCTTCACTGAAAAAAAAATTGGTACAATACCGAACCAAAAAGAGTATCGTGAGGGAAAAAAAGGTTTCATACATAGTATGGAACCTAAAAAGGTTTCGAATTCGTTTCAATTCTCTGAGCCATTTTAGGTTCGGTACAGACCACTACGAAAAACTTGAAAAAGTGTCCTGAGTCAAAGACAATCATTTTTAGGTTCCATACTATGTACGAAACCTTATTTTCGTTCACGATACTCTTTTTGGTTCGGTATCGTACTAATTTTTTTTTCAGTGCTTCTAGTATATATATATATATATATTGTTTCTTTCTCTCTCTCTCTCTCTCTGTTGTCGCTGTTGTTTTTCTTTTATCGTGTTAACTTGTTTAGGTTTTCTATTATTAAATAAATAAAAAAGGGAACCTAACAAATGGTGCACTAGCCGGTGTTATTATTATCATTATTAGTATTACTATCAATATTATTTTTCTTATTATTAGTACAACTCCCGCATGGAGAGCAAAAATTATAATTTATGAGCAGCAGATCGACTCGAAGGAATACAGATTTTACAATTATGACTATTGATTCGTTAGGTTTATTGCTTAAAAGTAAAAAACAAAAAGGTGATCCAATAAAAAATGATGAAGATATCAATATAGATTTGGATGGAACAGCAACAACTAGGAATAAGATTAATGTAGAAGTTAGGGAGAAATCAAATGATATAGCTGGTCATGATTTAAATGATCAGCCAACACGATATACAGATAAACGAAATTTAACTACAATCGAAATGCAGCCAAATTCAATAGGAGAATTTAATGGTCAAGGTGATGTCGAACAATGGTTAAAACAAGTTTTAGAAACATTCGATTCATTTCAATTATTATCAAGTGAACGAAATAATTTAATTCCTGATATTTTAAGTGGTGAAGCACTTATTTGTTATTTTAAACAACAACATCATATGCCAACATTTAATTCTTTTATTCAAAATGTACTTTATCATTATGGAAATAAAAATTCACAACAAGAACAAGTATCATCATTTACATCTCCGTTAAAACAAACGAAACAAGAAGCACTGGATGATTATAAAGAAACTGTCATGGAATCTCTTCAAAATCAGATGTTGATTAGTAGTTTAGAAAAATTACCAAAATTTTCAGGTAAATCAAAACAAAATGTATCAAAATGGTTATGAGAAATTCAACAAGCAATGAATATACTAAAATGAACAGATGCTGAAAAATTTTTCCTTATATCTACTTGTTTGGAAGCTGATGCACGTGATTGGTTTTTTGATAATTTACATTTGTTCAATACATGGACATCATTTGCACAAAACTTAATTAATACATTTGAATCGTCGGAAAAAGCAGATATTTCATTTAATCAATTACATCATTATCAACAAGGTTTAACTCAAGATGTTAGATAGTACTATTTTGAAATAATGAAACTATGCAAAGAAGCTAATCCTTCAATGGATGATGCTACTAAATTACAATATTTAAAGGATGGTTTAAAACCATCATTACGTTTTGATGTTTTGTTAAAAAATCCACGAAGTACCGAAGAATTGTTAGAATATGCTCAAAAAGTTGAAGAACTTAAATCATTAGATGAAAAAGATAATATTATTGATCAAGCTATCAACAAGAAAACTATAGATTCGTTCACAGTAATGTCGAAGAACAGGAATGTTAGTCCATCACAAACTAACCAACCAAGTCCATCTCAACAATTAGGTTTTAATAATTCGTATAAAAGAAATCAATTTAATAACAATAACAATTTAGCTCAACAACATATAACTATTACAACAACAAAGGAATGCTGTATGGCAATACCTAAATCATCTTATCAATGTTTTAATTGTGGTGCAGATGATCATTTTATTCATAATTGTCCACATTTTCATCAGAGAGGTCATTGAATGATGGTAATATCTCCTCCACATTTACAAAAAATCCATTACCAATTTTTATTTTTGCTAATGTTAATGAAGTTTTAATGAAAATTATGTTTGATTCTGGAGCAACAAAATCTTTTATCAATAAAGTTGCATTAAAACGAACAAAACATCTACCAATTGCTAGTAATCAACAATATTATTTGATGGCAGATGGTTATACCACCTTTGAAGTAATAGGTATTGTGAAAATATTTATTGAATTTAGTGCAATTAAAACAAATATTGTGGTGGGTATTGTTAATTCATTATACACTGATTGTATTTTGGGAATGGATTATATTAATAAATACAAAGTTAATCTTAATAATGAAGATAAACAAATTCAAATTCATACATTCAAAAATACAATTACAATTCCTATGGAAAATCAAATTGATAATGGTAAAATATTATGTCGATTAATTAATTCTACATGTATTTATCCATATCAAGAGAAGAAAATCCAAATAGGTACACAAGTATCGTCAGGACAATTATTATTTTCCCCTGCATATCATCTTACTCATTATAAAAATTTAATTAGTCCACATGTATTAATATCAATTATTAATCACAGTGCATGGATTTCCGTTTATAATCCAACATCATCAACTTGTTATTTAGAGTCAAATATTATTATTGGAACTGCTGCTCCGTCTTCAACTGTAGCTTATATCTCAATCATTTTAGATATACAAACACAAGACACAATAGATGAAAGTAATGCAACATCTTTAACATCAATTAATGAACAAAATATTAAAAATTTAATTATGCATATACAAGATCAACAACAATTTATTAGTGTACAAGCTATATTAACAAGACATCATCAACTTTTTGATACAACAACAACAACAACAACTATTGCTGAAACAACAAAAGCTCATGTTATTCATACCGGTGACAATCTTCCAACTACACATCTCGACCATATCCTCAAACAATTGAAAGATAAAATGCAATTTTTGATATTATCCAACAAATGTTAAAAAATAAACAAATTCGTGCATTACGTTCTCAATATTCTGCACCAGTATTGTTGATCAAAATATGTGATGGGTCATATCGATTTATTGTTGATTATTGAAAATTAAATAATATTACATTACAAGATAAATTTCCATTACCAAACTTTGAACAAGCACTTCAATTAGTTGGGGATCGCAAATATTATACAAAATTGGACTTACGATCAGGTTATTTCCAAATTCCAATTCGTGAAAAAGATAAACATAAAACAGCGTTTATTACGGTGCATGGACCCTTCAAATTCAATGTGTTAGCACAAGTGTTGAAGAACAGTCCTCCATCATTCCAACGAATTATGTCGGATTTATTATCATGATGTAAAAAATGTTGTCTTATCTACCTCGATGATATATTAATATATTCCAACACTTTCAATGAACATCTCCAGCATATTGATCAAGCATTATTAACCCTTGACAAGCACAAATTCCAACTAAATCCACAAAAATGTGAATTAATTAGAATAAGTATTAATTATTTGGGTCACACTATTAGTTTCAACGGCACAAAACCACTTCAAGATCGAATTGAAAAAATTTTATCTATTCCACAACCAACATCTTTAAAACAAGCAAATGCATTTATAGGTGCTATTGGATGGTACCGTAAGTATATAAAAGACTATACAAAACTAATCGCACCAATATTGGCTGTTACAAATTTAATTACAAGAAACAAATATAAATTCAAATGGGATACACCAAAATGTGAAGCATTTGATCCATTAAAAAATATTCTTATTACTGAACCATTATTTTAAAATTATCCTGATCCTGATGCAACACTTATATTATCAACGGATGTATCAGACTATTCTATTGGCGGTGTTTTATATCAAGAAATTAATGGTGAATGAAAAAAACGTGTATTTTTATTCACAAATGTTACCAAAATTACAAAGAAAATGGCCAACAATAGAAAAAGAACCATTAGCCATTTATTATTGTGTTACACGTATGAAATCGTATTTATTAGGTCGTGAATTTATTATTCAAACTGATCATTGTTCTTTACGTGACATGCATAAAAAGCCATCAAACAATCGTTGAGTTGATCGTATTTCATTAATTTTACAACAATATAATAACAAAGAAATTCGTCATGTGTCGGGTAAATGTAATTGTATGGCTGATTATTTAAGTAGATATTCACGTCAATTAGAAGATGACGATGAATTTATCGAACATGATTTTGGTGATATACCTACTATTCAACATCCAACAATTGAATCGACATCAACAAATTATCAACAAGTACAAAGACATATGGTTGGTGCAGTAGTAACAAGAGCTCAAGAAAAAGCAAATGTTCATTTAAATTCTTCAACAACACCAGATACTCCTATTGAAGAAAAATTATCTATAGATGATTAACCTCTTTGAGAGGAAGGTCATGAGTTTGATATTTTAGCTATTGAAAAAGCTCAAAAAGCAGATAAATTATATCAAACAAAAGTTTTAGAACTCCAAACAAATCCAAATAAACATACTTATGTTCTTGAAAAAGAAATTTTATATAAATTATCGAATTCTGGTAGATCTAAACAAAAATGACTTTATGTGTCTCCTACAATGTTAAAACAATTGTTAACTGCTTATCATGATGTCCGATGGGCAGGTTATTTTGGTTTTCACCGGACTTATTGGAAATTAAAAGACAAACATTGGTGGTCTGATATGAAAATTACCATCAATAATTATATTAAAAATTATTTAAAATGTCAAAAGTTTAATATTGAACGTCGTAAAGC